CTTATCTAAATTGTAAAAAAAAATGCCATTTCCATAACCATTCGTCCAGCTCATTCAAGTCATGATCAACAACTGGTTTGATTGGCAGTGTATTAAGACCGAGCTGCTGGTCCAAACATCATTAGCAAAATGTCTACTAAGAAAATAAGTCAATCGTTTATATATATATATATATATATATATATATGAAATATATTAGTCTAAGGTTCTTACTGATTCTTCAGTGAAGGACTTCAGCGGGAAAATGACCAAATACAGATGGTTTATTTTTCATCTTCGCTCTTTGATGTCTTCTTTGTAGGTAGCTCATAAACTAGTTAGCAAGTTACATTAAACTCCATATTCTTTTATTTCTTTTTTATAGAAGAATCTATATCCAACGTTATCAAATAACTTAGAAAAGTCACACAAAAAACACAAAAAATCGAAGTAGCTAAATTTTAATTAATCTGCTTTAAAAAAAATAAGAAGCAGTTATATACATGTCTATGAGTTGATGCACAGTTTGTCATTTTAGGCGGAATTTTGACGAACATTCATAAAACGTTTGTTTCTCGTTATTAAATAAAGTTATACTTTCTTATTAAATAACTCTCTCCATTAATTACTTTATACCACCACAACTTGTAACATATATCGGACATAAATCGGAAAGTGGATGCTGAATCCACTTTTTTTCAAATTTCAATAACATTTGCAATAATACAATTATAACGAAAGGTACATTCTTCAAGTGATTTATTAAAAATCATTGAATTGCAGCATTGAGTGTTTGAATAACATCAACGATTCAATTCAATAATAGAAAAAATGTATCATAGATATCGTTTCATGTCTGTGGGAGCAAGGAGGATATCTCCTTGGTGGGAGAAATATGGAAGAGGACAGATTTTCCTTTTCTAATTTGGAAATAAAACAAATATATGTGCATGTTAGAAGATTACATTTCTCGTCTTCATTACATACGGTATCATAAATCGAATTATCTTTTATAAAGATTTGTAGGAGTGGAATATATAAAAGTACCTCTATTTGATAAACAAGCATTTTCATGTTTTTCCACTAAGTTTTGGAATTGAAAACATCGTCATGATTATTTTATATTAATCCACGAAATCCAATACATTTTGTCATATTAAAAGTGTAAAATAAAATAAAAAGAAATAAAAATTGCTGACGCATAATAAGGTGTAATGAGCTATATTTAATTGCCACGTGTTCAACATTAGAAAGTTGTGTGGGTTTGTCAAAGTTAACAATTCTATAACTTGGGTGGGAGTGATTGACCAAAAATAGATATATGGGAGGCGTAAGCAATCCAGATTACTGTTTAACAGGTTAAGCGATAAACTGTGTCCATCAATCACTTACTCATTTAAAAAAATAAGTTATTTTGTGCATAGACGATCAATTTGAATTGATTAAGCAGTAAAACTAGCGGTTAGCCGATGAAAAAAGCGGTTAACTGATAAAAATAGCGATTAACCGATAAAAATAGCGGTTAACCGACATGTTTATAGCGGTTAACCGACATATAAGTAGCGGTTAACCGATAAAAGTAGCGGTTAATCGATAAAATTACCTTTTGAACCAAATGGTACACCATACTTATTAACTATTTCAACCTTATATGCGAAGCGAAAACGGAAGTAGAATTTAAAGTCATTGATTTTATTGACTTGTTTTAAATATGAAATTTAATCTATAATAATTGATTCAATATGCTAGAAACAAATCAACTACTCATCAAACATGTCATTGTAAGTGTTCCAATCGTTGCTATACCTGAGATCAAGAAAATATCTATCAACTGATCCAATGCAAAACAAAAGCGTAAGTTCTGGCCAAGCAATTGGGAATTATTATTGTAATTTAGTAGAGAAGGCTAAAATTTAATATAAACCGGAACACGAGATTTTATCGAAGTTCATAAATGACCTGGCTGACAAAATGGTGTTTTTTGTAGGTGCAGGAAATCCGACCTCACTTCAAGCGACATTGACGTCTGCAAAAATGGCAGTGGCATGTGGATATCGTAATGAAGGGTCGATGGCCCAGGCCATAAAATGTGAACCAAGTAAGCCAAACCTGACCCTACTTCAAGAAATGACAATGAAGATATAAAAGAACAAATGAAAATACTTACAAATTCAGTAGCAAATATCGCTATTAATCATAACAATACAGAGCCAAAACCGTACTAGCTACGCCAACAACATCAACGTCATCCACCCAATCATCCGCAGAGGCAACCAAATTCGTGAATGCTACGGTTGTCGTGGACATGGTCATATACAAAGCAATTGTAATTGGACAGGTAATGGACCTGTTCAATCTTCAGCCACGTATCAGTTATGTTTGCAGCAGGGCCATATTGCACAATCATACATAATCCTACATCAGTTTCAGTCGGGAAGTTAGTAAAACCCAGGGGACAGGAACGGTCATCCGGACAAAATTTGAAAAGTGCCAGTATGAATAAAAACAACGCCACGTCTTTTATATACTTACGGATTTCATTTTCCTGTCCTGGTAGATACTGGACGTTCTATAAATGTCTTTTCACAAACATTATACGCTTCTATTCCATACAAATACAAATTTAGTTTGAACTGTTTCCATCTGAAATCAGACTTGCTGACAATACAAAAGTAAAAGTTATTGATTTAACCAAGATCTTGGAAGCAGTAAACCAGGAACAACATACAATTATGCCTATTGCATCACATCCACTCATTTTAGGAACTAACTACTTGCATACTAACAATATCATTCTGGACTTAAGCAATTTTTCGTTTAATTTCAAGTCGGTTGAAGTGCAAACACACATGTCCCCATACAATTCCGCCGAACTCTGAATGTATTGTATGAGGACATGTTCCTGCTTATATTTTGCCTGGTTTGAATGGTGTTTGTTCAAATCATAAGTTCGTATCAGACAAATGGTTTAATGATAGCTAAATCTCTTGGCACTGTTTCGAAAAATCACAAAGTTCATGTAAAAAGTTTTAACGCAACAGATCAGAGCGTTATAATCCAAAAAGACAGAACATCAGCAGAATTTTCAACGTTTAATTCAGATTACAGTTATGTACTTATGTATTGACAAACATTGTCCAGTTATACAGAATAATGGTATTATAAATAGTTGTGTTACACCTGATTTGAAGGATTGCTGTGATAGTTGTAGTGATGAACATTTAGAGAAGGTAAAGGACCAATTCACCTTATCTGATTACTTGGTCCTTCACCATTCTGCGTCTTTGGGAGACTAAAAAGGACGAAATCGTTTGTAAATCAATGTTTTACTGCTCTAATTAAGTGTGCGTGTGTCTACATTGCTATGCGGTTCGAAAGAGGGAGAGAAAGAGCATGCTAATTAAATATGATATAGGTAATATAGATAAGATAGCACTCCACAGTTAAGTAGTGTGCAATAAAATTCATTTTTGGATAGCTGAAGATTAATACAGCCTTCATAGTAGGTTTATAGGAACATCAAGATTGTGTATTGTATGTATTATGGGCTGTTAAATGTATGACAGTCCGTATTTTCATATCCATACCAGACACTGGTCCGGCAATTATTGTAATGTTTTTTTCGAACTTTTTGTGATTAAATTCTAATAAAAAAATTGAAGCGAAAGTCACCCAATTTTTATTTTATCATTTTTGGTAGATTAATGTCAACAGTTTCAGAAAAGGTATCACTCACAGGTATTTAAATTCAAGTTTGAACCAAATTTTGGGGAAATATGTGACATTTTCATGCCCCTTTTTGCAATATTTCATAGTAAATAAATGTAGAATTTTGCCATGGATACACAAAAAAGGAATTATATTTCACCATTTTAACTTTTGGAAATCAAATCTATGGAAGATGCTGATTACATACATATCATGTATGACACAAACAGTTGGCTTAATGTATTATAAAGCCAGGAACAAAAGATGATTAAACATTTTGTAGTTGAATTTTAATTTTATTTTCTAACTGCGGAGTGCTAGCTAATTCTACTATTTACAAACATCACGCCGGAACACCCCTGTGTTTCCGGAATGATATGCACTAAACTACGTTTACCAACAACCATCTCGAATTTTATAAATTTCTTTCTTTTTGTTTTGGTCGGGGATGTTTTATACCTGATTCTTATATGGTTGAAATTAAGAATGCCAATATACATTTAGAAGGAAGGAATAATCTTTTTATTAAAACACTTAATGAATATAAACAATTTTCTTTTTTTCAATACTAAACATTGAGTAACTTGACATAAATAAGATGTTTACTGGCGATTTTGGCCGTCTTGATTCTTTTGTCGTTCTTGTTCTGCTGATCAATTTTGCTCTTCAAAGTTTCTCTGTATCTACCTTTTTTTGTAAAAACCACAAAATGGATAAAATTCGTCATTTGAGAACAATAATTCCTAAAAGAAATCTACTGACAATTTTGGCCATGTTGATGTTGTGTTGTTGCCAAGTTTTGCTCTCACGTCATGTTAAAATTTCTCTCTTTCTACTTCAGTTTATGCACACGCAATAAAACACAAAAAGGGTAAAAATCATATAAAGACCATAATTCCTACAAGAAAATGGGGCCAAAAGATATTTTTTTTATGTTCACTTATTGTAGATATTGTCCTGCTCATCGTTTTTGCCATTTACAGTTATTTATAATAGTTTCAAAGATAATAGATAAAATCTCCAAAATGGGTAAAATCATGAATCAACGGCAATACCTCACATAAAGATGCCATGTGTGAGACTGCTCACATGTTCCTCTTTAGGCAAGGTGAGCTTAAAAGAATTTTAACACATGCACCTGTTGTAGTAGCAAGATGCGTCTGTATAGTATCCGAACGTAGAATATTTTGACTTTCGAACACATTTGTATCTATGTTTCATTTGTAAATAAGAACACAATAGAACGCATTCAAATTTGTCCATATGAACATATTTACAAAGAAACTTATCACGGTGATATTGTATCATTCAATTTATTTTGAAACGTCATAAATAAATGCATTTTTTCTTTCATTCGCGACTAGTAAAATGTTATGTTTTTGGTTGTAACACAAAGCTTGTGGATGATCAAGACCATCTTTCTCTGACAGCAACACTCTGTGCTTGTTTCCATCTGGTGAAATAACAACGACATTGTTAGAAAAAAATCCCGCTACGTAAACATATCCACAATTGTTGACTGTAATACCTCGTGCCGACTTAAGAAAAGTGTTTAGTTCTAATCTCCATTTAACAGCCCCTTGGAGATCACAGCATATTACTGAATCATCATTGCCTATAACATAAAGTTTATCTGACCATATTGCAATGCTGCTATATCGACTCAAGGTAGCGTTTACTAACTGTATTATAGAGTCCTCATCTAAACTTACAACACGTAATCCTCCTTTATGTCCATTACAGTACAATTTCCCATCTTTATGAACTATTCCATAATTCTCTGATCCAACATCAATCAATTTTTCAGTTTTTCTGCTCTTCATATCAATAATCTTAACGCAATTGTGGTTACTCCCATTTGTTACGACAAGTTTTTGGCTTTCCTCAATATAGTATATCTGCGATGTACGGAATCCTGGTTTCAATGTAAAATGTAAAGACCCGTTGGTTTGCAGAACGCTAATTAGGCAGTTTCGATAGCAGGAAAAAATCATTCTGCCATCAGGAAGAAAGGAGCAACCAGTGATATCATTTCCATGTGTTTTCACGGTTTGTCTTAAAGTAAGTCTGACATCATCAATGGTAGGAACATGTGTAATAGGCATAATTAACTGTGCTTGTTTACCCTTTCTGTTTGTTAATTCTGCTTCACCTGGCCTGATATCTAGTATTATGGTTCCCATCTTCTTGATTTGGGTAGGTAAAATCTCCACAGCATTTTCGTTTTTCCAAGAAATAGATGCATGGTTCATTTTCTCTTCTTTTATTAAAGATTCCAGAAATTGCTCGTTGTTCGTGACATCGCGTTGGATGTGTTTCATAGCTAAGAAAGTCTGGAGGTCTGATGCATGTTGTTTTATTTTATCTAAAATAGTTTGGCTTTCGGTAATTTCTCTTTCTTTCTCTTCTATTGATAATATTATGTTTGTGATGTTTTTGTTTTCCTTTTCCTCAACGGCTGCAACTCTTTCGTCAAATTTTCTTGTAGCTTATCCAAATGAGTGTTAATCAACTGCTGAACTTCTTTTTCTATTTTTGTCGTGTTCTCCCTTAAACTTTTAATGTTTTCTTGTCGATCTTTTCTTATTCTTGGCAAATTTTCTGAAAGATTTGTTAACATTTATTCCATTTGTAAAATTGCATTTGATAATTTTACATTCTTAATGACATCTTCTATCGCGTTTAAATCTTTGCAATCGTTATGTGTTTCAACAACACATCGCCTACAACATAGACAATCGTGCTTCTTACAAAATATTTGGTATTTTTCTTCGTGCTTTGGACAAGTTTGAGTGATTTCCAATATATAAGAAGGTGGATTTTGGTAATCGGATCGTAGTAAAATACTATGGTCTCTGGTCACCTTTGAAGCTGCATGGTGCACTTTACATCCTTCACAAAGTCTTTTGTCACATTCTGCACACCAGACCACTGATGGTGTGTTAATGTTCTGATAATCGCATACCACACAAACAGTATATTTACTAGACATGCTAGAAAAAAGAAATTTAAAAGTATAACATTGCTTTTTAAGAAGTCTGTCTTAGGTAAGAAAAATCCTTATAAACTTTCAACGGATGCTAGATATACATTTTCATATTTTTTTGCATAACAGGACCGATTAACATTTTTTAAGTAAATGCAAATTAAGGTTCTATGAATCTTGTTGGTGCAAGTCATGTAAGCATATGCTTGCCACAAAATGGACGAACAAACAGAACTTTTTTCGTGTCACCGATATTTTTTCTGTTAGGTTTCAAACTTTCAGGTAATATGGGTAATATTGCCGACAAGAAATTCTTTATGCGGACTTTAATTTTGTCGAAATCGAAAATCGCCTTTTATGTCTGGAATAGTCGTTCCTCCTGAAACTATTTGTCATGAAAAACGTAAGTTATTTTGACAACATAAATCTGTAACGTTTATATTTCACATGGAACTGTTCTTTTTCAAGTGTCATCCTACATATATTATACCTTACGTTACAAGTAAACATTTGTTTGTATTATAGATAAAGACAACATAAGTATAAACCGCTGTTCAAAGATCATAAATCGATTGACAGAAAACAAATCCGGGTTACAAACGAAAACCGAGGGAAAACATCAACTATTAGAGGAATTTAACGAAACAACAGAACACTGAAGTGCAACAAAAAACAAACGACAATGCAACATACATAGAAACGAACAATTTGATAACAACTGCCATATTCCTGACTTGGTATAGGACATTTTAAGAAAAAATGGTGGGAAATTAATCTGGTTTTGTGGCTACCAAACCTCGCACTTTATGGCAATGATAATTATTACGCTAAAATGGCATTAATACATGACGGGAATACAGTACAAATAATGCAAGAACACTCAGGACAGAGAAATAAATAAATAATATAATATAATACTACATTTCGACATGTTTACCACAGAGTAACAACCAATAAATAGAATTTATTTAGGACTGTACACAAAACAGCATAAAAGAATTACGACATCTGTGTCTGTCACACAAATGTACCAACGCCACAAAAAATGACGTCACGGGATTAAACTGAGGACGGGTCAAAGATCAACAAAAGTACATTTTAAGCAAGGTAAAAGAAGAACGAAAATGATTTTGTCAATGCTAAATCTTTGTAGTTTTTTTAATTATTTATTTGTGCTATTTATTCACATACCCAATGTTTGGATATTCGATACTTATTAACTATTTCAACCTTATATGCAAGGCGAAAACGAAAGTAAAATTCAAAGTCATTGATTTTATTGACTTGCATTAGATATGAAATTTAAGCTTATAATAATTGATTTAATATGCTAGAAACAAATCAACTACTTATCAAGCATGTCATTGTAAGTGTTCAAAACATTGTTTTACCTGAGATCCAGAAATATTCATCACCTGATCCAATATAGGTTTTTGCACACGTGACCAATACGAACTTTCTGATGAGTATAATATCGCGGTTAAATTCAAAATAACAAGCTTATCCGTGAATCTGCTCTGTTCTTTTATATATTATACATGTTATATGTAGTAACCACCTTTAGCAAATTGAGGATTGTGTCCTAGAATTTCTGACAACACGTACATTGGATTCATATGATATAATTTCAAATATAAATAAAATTAATGTTACAAATGTATTATTGGTTGAAATATACTATGTATAATTTAATTTCATACTGATGTTTTGAGATTGAACATTTGAACTTGAAGAGTCTACTGAGTTACTTTTCATGATGTTGTCTAGTAGTTTGATTCAGTCGGAAATATATTGTAATTTGGGAGAGAAAAGATATTTTCTGTATTGTGCTATACAAGATGGAATTAGGAAATTGTTTGAATTTAAATGTCCAGTTTGTCTTTTTAGGGGGAAATTCATCTGTTGTTCTTATAGGTATTGGAACTTTCTTTGTTCTATTGTGTATAACTTGACAAATCATGAATCTTTTCTTCAAATATCAGTGAGACTACGTCATTCAAGGAGATGTCATTTCTGTATTTGGTGGTTACAAATCCCTTAAGACAAAAAAAAAAACCCAAAGGCCACAAGGAAAACGTCAACACAAAGCATTTTATATCATTACTTCATAATGGCATAATACCGCATATTGGTAACCTTGTAAATTGGACGTAATCCCCATTCGTATTTTTTATTTTCTGTCGGACAGGAGAAGTAACGGTTTTCATTTTTCTGTTTTTCCAGTAAACATTTGGGATGGCGGTCAGTACGATCTATGCACATTTAAGATAACAAACTTCGGCATAATTCTTTGATCTAAAATTGATATGAAGGCGACAGTAGTTTACCGATGTTCAAATCTCGCAAATCGACTAAGAAGAGACAAATCTAGGTAACAAACAAAAACTAATGGAACATGTACTCCATAAGTAGTATACAGACAAACGTGCAGAAAAGCAATACAAAGTCGCTGCGTTAGTTAAGTGTTATGAATGTTAGTTAGTATACTTTTCTGATGTTGTGCTAGAAATACAACAAAATGCTATTCTAAGGTTCATAATGAGTTAAATTATAGGGGAAAGCCGAACGGTGATTAAAAGTTGTTAACATTCTTTACCATTGTACTTTGATCGAATCATCTTACAATTACACCACAGATCCTTGTTATTTGTATAAGGATAGTTCACGAGATGTACAATCTTACTCAAAGCCGAAGTCTGTTTCTTTGAATGTCCATTTTAAATATAAATAAAAATGGGGTATGAGTGCCACTGAGACAACTCTCCGTCCAAGTCACAATGTATAACCAGTAAATAATTGAGCCTTAGCTCACACCAAACAGCAAGCTATACATGGCCCAAAATGACTAGTGTAAAACAATTCAAACAGGAAAAAGAAAAATCACAAAAATACTGAACTGTGAGAAAAATTCAAAAAGAAAAGTCCCTTATCAAATGGCAATATCAAAAGCTCAACGTTGTAATCTATCTAAAAAACGAGAAACGAGAAACACTAATGGACCCCATCAACAAACGACAGCCAGTGAACAACAGGTGTCGGTTTCACACAAAAAAAAATTTACGACTAATATTGATCGTAAGTCGTAAACAATTCAATCCTGATATAATCAATAATCTAAGAGGCATTTCTCTTTTAAAAATAATCGATCTGCACTGATTTTCGAACTCGTCCAACACATTGCTGCTATTAACCTATGATATAAGTTTCATAAAAATCTGGCAGGAATTGTACACGTGAGAGCGCTAACAAGACTAAACGGACGGGCGCCCGATATTTCTATGTCCCCCGCACCGCGTTCGCGGGGGGACAGAAAAAAAAACACCATAACTTTAAAAATACAGAAGAGCATACATAACGTTGGAATTGGGGTAAAAAAAGTGAGCTCAGATAGATAACTGCATTTTTATATCTGAAAAAGAATAAAACAAAATATTGGATTGTTTACATGATAATTGTCGTTTAAATATTTGCCTTATTGTTAACTATAACTAAAACATAACCTGTTCTAAACTATCATTCATAACTGCTAATGAATAATCTGCAATAAGAGGGAATAAGTTAGACTCGCACTCGGGTACCTGTGCTCGTCTCTATTGGAATAACAATCACCTGAATTTAAAACAAAAATATTTTTTAACATTTTCAACACTAATGGCTAGTCCTTTCCTTGCATGTGCAATTAGCGTATATTTTTTATGTTTAAAGGGGCACTAGCTACGAGATATATAAAAAATCTAAAATATGATTTTTTTTTCGTTCATTAATGAAAGTGAAATAGTGTAATAATAATTCGCTTTTAGCAGCCAGTCTTGTTCAATTTTGTCATAATAACCTAAGAAACATTGATGATGAACTATTCACTTGCAAGTGAATAATTCGACCTCATTGAATCCGTATATATGTGATCTTCAATTTAACCCCTTAGCTAATTATGGATAACGCATGAATTGTGCATGTTAAGTTATTTAAAGAAAAATAATGTCAACATTGAAAGTGGAACAAAGGTAAATCATTTGATTGACTGATTCGATCCACAAAACATCATTCTTATACAGGTAAAAACGATGATTAACATATATTTTTAATCTATAATATGAAATTAAACAGACCAAGAAAAACCAATTGCACAAATTCGCAATCTATTTAGATATATATCTATGTTTATATCGCTTATATGACCATTGGAGGTCTTCGGAGGTCAACTCGATAGTTAATTAGAAGGTGTCTAAAATACACACGAAACAAAGCTACATATTATCGAGCCCATGCCCTGTTATTTTAGATTTTTTTATAATTTGGAAAATGTTTTACCTTGTTATAAATCAAATATGAGAATTTGAGTCAAATAGGTCAACATGAACTTGACAGCTAGTGCCGGGGAAAAAGAATTGTAGCGATGACAAATGCAGTGGTTACATACTTTACAGTAATCAATCTGTACAATATTTTTGAGATGTGACATTTATAAGAACACAAAGAGCACAGTCCAACGTTTTTTACCACAAACATGTTTATTACAGAGAAGCTCATGTCAGTCATTGTAACAATTCATTTTGAAACGTCATAAAGAAATGCGTCATTTTCTTGGTTTGTAATAAGTAACTTGTTATTTTTTCGATCGAAGCACAAAGCTTGTGGGTTTTTAATACCATCTTTCTCTGACAGCAACACCCTGTGTTTGTTTCCATCTGGTGAAATCACGACGACATTGTCATATCTATAGCCCGATACGTAAACATGTCCGTAATTGTCCACAGTAATACCTCGTGCGTTTGTAAGTAATGTTTTCTGTTCTAATTTCCATTTAATACCTCCTTGAAGATCACAGCATGTTACTGAATTATCATTGCCTATAAAATAAAGTTGATCTGACCATAGTGCAATGTTGCTATATCGATTCAAAGTAACCTGAACTAGCTGTGTTATAGAGTCGTCATCTAAACTTACAACACATAATCCTTTATTATGTCCATTATAGAACAATTTCCCATCAGTATGAACTATTCCATAATTTTCTGATCGAACATCAATCGATTTCTCAGTTTTTCTGCTCTTCATATCAATAATCTCAACGCATTTGAAGGACATCCCAGTTGTAACGACAAGTTTTTGCTTTTCCTCGATAAAGTATATATGAGATGTTTTTTGTGCTGGCTTTAAAGTCAAACCCAAAGTCCCGTCGGTTTTGATTACGCTTATTTTGCCACTTAAGTAGCAGGAAAAAATCATTCTGCCATCAGGTAGTAAGGAGCAACCAGTGATATCCTCTCCAATTGTGTTCACGGTCTGTCTTAAAGTAAGTTTGATATCATCAATAGTAGGAACAGGTGTAGTAGGCATCATTATCTGCGCTTGTTTGTTCTTTCTGTTTGTTAATGTTGCATCACCTGCCCTGGTATCTAGTATTATGGTTCCCATCTTCTTGATTTGGACAGGTAAGATCTCCAAGGCAGTTTCATGTTTCCAAGTAATGGAAACATTATTCAGTTTCTTTTCTTTTATTAGGGATTCCAAAAAGTGTTCGTTGTTCCTGACATCTCGCTGGATGTGTTTCATTGCCAGAAACGTTTGGAGGTCTGAGGCATGTTGTTTTATTTTATCTAAAGTAGTTTTGCGTTCGATAATCTCTCTTTCTATCTCTTGTATGGATGATACTATATTTTTAATTTTTGTGCTTTCCTGTTCCTCAGCAGCATACAACTCTTTTATTAGACTTTCCTGTAGCTTATCCAGATGATTGTCAATTGAGCTTCGTTTCTGCTGAACTTCTTTTTTCTATTTTTGTTCTGTTCTCCTTAAGACTTTCAATGTTTTCTTTTCGATCTTTTCTTATTTTCTGCAAATTTTCTGAAAGTTCTGTCACCAAATGTTCCATTTCTAAAAATGCATTCGATAATTTTACATTCTTAATGACATCCTCTATTGCGTTTAAATCTTTGCAATTATTATGTGTTTCAACAACACATCGTCTACAACATTAAATATCATGCTTCGTGCAAAATATTACGTATTTTTCATCGTGTTTTGGACATGTTTGAGCGATTTCCAATATATTGGAAGGAAGCTGCTGGTACTCAGAGATTAAAACAATACCATGGTCTCTGGTCGCCTTTGAAGCTGCATGATGGTCTTTACATCCCTCACAAAGTCCTTCGTCGCATTCTGAACACCAGAACACTGATGGTTGTCTAATGTTGCGGTAGTCGCATACACCACATACAGTTAATTTACTCGACATGCTACAAAAAAAAAAGAAATTTAAAAATGTTAAAAAATTGCTTTTAAAGTTTGACAGAGGTTAAACAAATCCTTTGATATGATTTTATCCATTCTTATAAACATTCAACGGATGCTGGATATACATATTCATTTTGTTTTTCATAACAGGACCGATTAACATATTTATTAAGTAAATGCAAATTAAGGTTCTATGA